TGGCACAGGATCGGGAACGTTGGAAGCACTGTCTGACGCGTCTGCCTCCGCGACCCGAAAGGAGAAGCGGAGATGGAAGATGAAGATGAAGCTTCAGTAGACTTGCATATCGTCTGCCAGACTGCAAAACCTTGGCACACCCACATTTTGCAACCAACCAAAGTGTACGATGAAGGCTTAACTGATCTTGCCAAATTCTGGATAATTTTGTCATACACGGTTTAACAGTTCTCAAACCATGATCAGCCTTTGACCGATTTCGCAGAGTTACCATTTTCATTCATGCTAGAACCACAAAACTCGAAGGATGTGATTTGTGGTAACTCATCATCTACGGCACCATCTCTTAGAAAAACAATCTTACAAAGTAACATAAATCCATGTTCAGAGGCTAAACGGCATTATGTAAATATATCATTGAAGATGACAGTCTCCTTTCATATCCCTGGATTCGGACGGCGTATCGAACTGCTCCCTTGCTTCTAATAATCTAAGAACCATTTAAGCATGCCACAATCATATGGTGTCGTAGATGGTTAAAGCACCAAAAAACCAACGTGTCATCAAGGTATAAGCACAGCTGACTCAACTGTTAAATTAAAGTCTCAAGTCTAAGTCGCAGTTTAAGTCTTTCTCTAACTGATATTCTACGATCATTATGTCAATCGTTTGTAAATGCTTATGACTAACATGAAGAAATAGCAAGCTATCATATCTTTCATAGAGGCTGACATTTGGATGGCATGTGAACATATTCGATAATGAGATTTGTAGTCAATATTTCTCCAGGACAGCACTTTTTTCGGGTGCATGAGAAACCCCAAAATGGATCTGCATGATGCGAAATATTAAGATTGGACGAGGTTGACAGGTATGCTGTCTGATGTGAGAGCCCACTGTGGCTACATTTCCCTCTGATTTACCTGATAGCTGACTATCCAGTGTAATAATTAGCAGGAAATAAAACCAGGATTTCGATTTCTCGGATATCTTATCACATCTTTTGCTTGTAAATAATCTATACACCTGCTGCCAAATATTTAGGCGTAATTTTGTCATCTGACCTTAACCGACACGTACACATATTCACTTGAGAACAGGTACTGTAATGCATCATTTTAGGCAAAATGCCTGAGAAACCTTCACATGGGCTATACGAATCCCTTAGAAAATTTTCTTCTGCATATATTCTAATACTTCATACAAATACATAAGTCATCTCTCAGGCCGGGTGACATCCGAATTCAAGGCGTTCAGGCGGCCACAGAAACAAATCTCTAGAATAGGCAGCCTCTCACACAACGATCTACTGAGGTACGTGGTTGATTTAGTGGTTACCTGACTCAGTAAGAACATCCTGGACAACAGTACTCTTCTACTGCATGACAGAAACTGGCCATGCCTCGTCGCGAATTTAGTCAATTATATCCAGGTTCGTCAGCATGTTTGCCAGAACGGAACTGTAACAAAAACCTATATATTCAGGGTCACGAAGTCCAACTAACGTTAAACAATAATACGTGAACGTCCACAATGTGACAGAGTCCTCTTCCTGTTTGGAGGTGATCTCCAGTAGCTTTACTTCGTGATTCCGCGTTGATTTCACGGGTTTATATATTCACTAATCTTTCGATTAGCTCTAAACGTGCAACAGCAATTCTGTTCTATGATACGAACATTGATTTTATGCTTTTTCTTATGTAGTTTTGTTAAAAAAAA